ATCTATTCCAGATACTATGTTCATACTAAGTATTTCCTCTACTACAGTTTATTTATTATTTTATCATGCTGATATCTAGATTCATGTATATAAACATCAAACTTGCAAAACTAAAGGTAGAATCCATTAAAGGGAGTTATAGTACTTATAAGGATTTCAAATACATTATATATGTTTCAATACTATAGTTTTTCGCATCTGCAATTGTTGTTCTTAGATAAAACTACAATTTGAAATCTTATTGTTACACCTCTCACAGAAAGCCAATAATGAGTCTGTAAAAGCTGATATCAACCTCCAACCTCCAATAAAACAATTTTTCATGTTCATCAAAAGATATAATCACCTCTAAGTCATCAATACTCCCAATACTCCTCATTTTAATATTTACACTAATGATGAGGTGTATGAATTACAGGATTCGTTCTTGGACTGCAATTCATTCATTTGTATGCTAGATTTTTAAGAAATACTCACACTTGATTGGAACGAAATGAAAAAATCTCCCTGGTATGTTTGGTCTCTCATTATTAGCCTCATCTCTATAATAGGATTTATATTCAGCTACCTCTACTCTACAATTCAATTTTTCAACATTTAAATTGGGATCATTGCAGGAATTATTAGCCTAGTTTGGCTAAGAGGTAAGATGCTAAGTCCTAACTATCAATTGCACATCCATCATAACTTCTTAGGTTTGAAAATGTGCTTAATTGTTTTGCTATTAGAATGTCTTCTTAACTTCAGTTCATTAAATATTCAACGGTAATGCAATTCGTGATAATAGGATTTCGCGAACCTTATGGACTGGTTTGAAATATTAAGCAGTTAATCTCTCTTTTAAGTTGAAGGCCATATATGTGGACATCTGGTCTAGTTCACTCTCATACTTGAGTATTATGTGCTATGCTGTATAAATCCACAATTTTCTTATCCTAAAGGTTCAACTAATAAATGGAGAGTCTTAATTCTATCAAACAGAGATCTGGTTTCATATATAAGCAAGGAGCTTTAAGAAGCTTAAGGACTTGTTTGAAATAGAACTTTAGCGATGATTTCTCATAGATCTAGCATGATTTTACTTCATTGTATGCTTATTGAAAAATAGAGTGATAGATCCTTATGTCACATTATTCATGGCATTTAAGTTGAAATTCATATGCTGTGATCAAGTAGAGTTTTAGGATAATCTCATGCTATAAATAGGACCCTATACTTAATCTAGAGGCTGAGAATTACCAATCTCTATTGAAAAAGCCAAGCTTAATTTTGCAAAGCACTAATATAAGTATTGATGATGTATATAAATATCAAGAATTATTCTTGACTTATGCGGAATCCAAGATTGAATCTAAGGATGAGGATCTTGAAATTTACTCAATAGTAGGTCTTGCTTTTTTGTGCTAATTTTGTAAATTATCAGTAAACTATAACTAGCAGGAATACTTGTCTACCTCTGACAAAGTTCAATGTTTCACAAGTTAATAGATCAAACTAGCAAAGCATTAATAAAATTTTGTACTTGGCTCCACTAAATGTCTAAGAAGCTGGTATCTGATTCTATTTTTGCTTATTATTTACCCTTAATTAATGGATAATTGATCTGGTGCTTTTCGATATTTAACTAGTTTTAATTTTTGCAACCACTTCTCCAATAATCATGAGGTATGTATGTTCCTTAAAGACTTTTTTTTATTTCAAGGTACAATATCTCATGTAAGAGTATGTAAGTTGCAGTACTTAATTAAATATATCAATTCACCTTCTTTAAAATGTCGTAATTTAATTGCCTATTTGTTTTAGATTAACATTATACTTTGCTGAAAATACTAAATAAATCCTTATTTGTTACAATATAAATGCCGATACTGAATTCATATGTTTTCTTACATAGTTTGATGTCTTAAATAATTTATCAGTATCAAGGTAATAAATGATCAAATTAAAAAGCTCGTACCTATATATAGTTAATTGTTGTTGAAAATGAGGATAGTTTACATACTTACTAAACGATGATTATTCTTCACATGCAGCTTTTATAATAATATTTATTTGGTATATTATCAGAAACCATGGAGAAAGCACAATTAGTACTTTTTGGGGTTTTGGGGTTTTGGGGTTTTGGGG